AATAGCAACATCTCGTAAAGTTATTGTGCATTCACCACGAGTGGTATAAAAAGTATGTGTTTCAGGTCGCCACCTCTCAACAAGTGCTGAGCCTATAGTTGGATCGTATTCAAATTGTCCTATTCTTGCAACTCCATAAAATCTAACTTGTTTAAGGTACTTTATGATTTGGATTGATGGATCTATCAATTGATCCTCATGAATGACTTTTTGAGTTTGAAGGATGCGATCATGCTAAAAAAATTAAACTTGATAAAATTGTCAAGTATAATAATTTTAGACAAGATAAGGAGAAATGATACTTACATTGTCATTCCATACAGTCTGTGAAATATGTTGTCCTTGTAAGTATAATAATGTATTTTTTTCTGGACCTGGGTTAATAACTTGCCTTGGTTGAGTCATTTATATGCTACTGCAATGCAATTTGAAGAAACAAAGAAATTTTTAATAGCAAGAAGAATGTCAATTACAATTAACACACTTATCTAGAATAATTAATGTCAAATTCAGTACAAATCATACAAATTAACTTCTACATGCTTGTTTATTTGGACAAGTAGAGCGATTATGACTCGTTTGTCTACATAACCCACATTTATTTGGCTCAATGGGTGTGGTCCAATCCATCTCATTATGTATGTGAGTTGAGCAAGGATGACCTCTTTCTCTAATCATTGATGGGTCAGGAATCAAATTAGGAATATCAGTTTTAGGCTAATGAATCTCATCTCCTATAGGGCGAAACTCATTACTATAAGCTTGCCTCATATATTGTAAAGTGAAAATGGGATCCACGAATTATAAATGGTTTAAGCCAACACTAGCACATGTTGCAATTACATGCATGCATGGGTATTTTTCTACTTGAAACTCTCCACAATCACATTTTTTGTCATTCAAGCTAACCTTACAACAGCATCCAAATTGATGAATTTGAACATTATATGGTTCTTACACCTCAAATGATGTTTCCCTTCGATTAAAAGTGCGAACGATACAAGCTGATGTAGCTTGTGTGGCCATTTCTAGCTTCTTACTAATTGTCTCAGAAAACATTTGACTAGCTGCTATTTGTGCTTCAACTTATTGGGCACGTTTAACAAAATAGTTTTTCACCCTATACATAGTAGCCTTCACAAGTCCTGTAATTGGTAAGCTTCGAATTAAAAACACTATTCATGTATTCTGCTATATTAGTTGTCATGTGACCATAATGCCGACCTTCAATATTATATGCACGTGACCACTTTTCTATTAGAATTTCACCTATCCATCTTGCTGCTTGCTCATGGATTAATGCTATCTCGACTAATTGTTGGTTAACAACATGACGCTCATATGCATAACCTATATATAAGAAGAAACATATAATCAATAATTATATCATGATAGGATTTTATTCTTAAAAAAATAATTGACTCATATCAATGTGTACAAAATTTTCCTTTAACCAATTTGTCCCATGTGCTTTGTGGAGGTTTGTAGCCACATGCCTTAAACAAAATACATGGTATCCATTCGGTGGTTGCCACCCAACATGTGGATCCCCAACTGTAGCCATTATTGACCGATGCCTGTCAGAAATTAAACATATTCCATTTTTATCCTTTATGACATATGTGCGAACATTATACAAGAACCAAGACCAAGCAGATTTCGTCTCTCCTTCAACCATAGCAAATGTAAGGGGTACAACATTTTTGTCACCATCTTGTAATATGGCTATAAGAAATGTACCCTTATATTTTCCATATAGAAAAGTACTATCAATTTGAATAATGGGCTTTAAGTGTTCAAACGCATCAATACATGGCTTGAATGCCCAAAAAACACGCACAAACATTTCCACAGGCTAACCTTTATAATTAACTTTAGAGCATAGCTTACTTTTAAATCTCACGCATGATCTAGCATGAAATGTTGGACTGCAACTAACCACCTTAGTAATAATGAGTATGAGCTCTCCCAATTACCAAAAGCCATTGCAACTGCTAACTGTTTAGCCTTCCATGCTTTCTTATATGACACTGTATACCCAAACATGGATTACATACGCTCAATTATTTAGGATATTTTCACATCTGGTCGATCAGCTACCATTGCCACAATAGAGGATGAGATGACATCGCATCTAGCTTAGGGTGGTCTTGACTTAATGAGGTTGCTAAACATGTATGAGGCCCTGCATATTTTGTAATGTGCCATGATGTTCTATTTCCTTTTTTACAAGCCCTTAATCTCCAATTGCAACTGCTTTTATAATTTATACATTGATATTCTTCATACTTATCACTTGAATAAAACACCTTAAACGTGCGATGAACTCGAACAGAGTATAATTTGGCTGCACATCTTAGTGTGTGAGTATTGTTAAACATTTGATCGATGAAAAACTCCTGCCAATTATTAAGAGGTAAAAGATCTCCCATTCCATTAAACTCAGGAGTCACTGCAGAATCTATATTAATTCGTGAGAAGAAAGTTAAGGCAGCTTCTTCATTATTCTCTTCAAAGGCCTCATCATTATTATGGTCACCAGCACCATTTATATAAAAATCATACTCATCTTCATCTTCAAAATCATCCGTAATATCTTTAGATAGAGCTTGTAAAGAAGATGGTACACTATTATTACCAATATCAGGGCAAGGAAGATCAAACGGATAAAAATTTTCTAAGTGCAAGCTAAGCCTTCTTCCTTCTTCCATTAGACCTACGTGATTGCTATTTGATGGAAATGAAGATCTAACAAAGTCTTCTAGTGGTTGTGATTCAGGGAGGTCATCAACTTCTACATTTAAAATGTGTGCATATAGCTCTAGTCTCATCAATTGATTTGAATATCGCAAATTTATATGCCACATTTGTTCTATGTCAGAATCATTCCGCAACTTATATGCCCGGTATCTTGGCAAATTTATAGCTATTGGATATCTATATACTAGATTAGACACAATTTGATTAGAAGGAAGCTTTAGTATTTGTCTAACATCTTGCTTTAGTTGGGCTAGAGTAATATTTACATCAATCCTCATCATTCTTATCTCATCAGATTCAAATGTCACACCATCTGAACCATTAAAAATTCAACCATTTGCATATATGCACACTAGCTCTTTTCTATTGTGCATTTTCCCTATATATTTAAGCAAATATTTTTATTAATCAAATTAATATCAAGGCACTAAAAAAAATAATCCAATCCCTACACAATAAATCAAGCATCAAAGCATTTTTTTAGTAACATTCAGGCATTCACATTTTAACACATGACTAATTTATTTATTTATAAAATTATAATAGTAATTTATTTCATTTCCCTTTAAAATTATGTTTATATTTTTTTACCTTAATGATGATTAAAGGCTAAATCATCATTAAACAATTAAAATGTTTTTAAAAAATAATTTTTTAAAATACTATTTCATAATTAATTAGATAAGTTTCTTATATATTTGAACTCATCATTTCAATTTTTTTTAAAAGAAATCACTTGTAAAAACATAGCTACTTGTTAAAGATTTTTGTAATTTTTTTACCAAAAAATTATGTGTATATAAAATGGTTGGTGATTTTTTCCCTAGATTTACTAAACTTACATAAAATTTTGTGTGTATATATTTTTCTTAGTAAATATAATTATTAATTTTTTTAAAAGTATCATTTATATCTCATAATTAATTGTAAATGTTTTATTATTGACCAAGTTTAATTAGCTTCATCAGCCACAAATATGGTCCACTTATGGAAAGAGAACATGTATGTCACTAACTATATCTAATATATTCATTTATTTCAAATAAAATTAAATGTGGGTTAGCAGCATATAATAATTAATTAACACACTAACATTCATCTTCCTAAACTTTGACTCTTTCGCTGAGTGTTTAATCAAAGAGAAGCAAAATGATTGAGAGTGAGAGGGAAAAGCAAAAAATGTGACTTTAGTTTTATAATTTTATTTGTTTAAATGTAAGGGCATATATTTTAAATGATTAAATTAAAATTAATTGTATCAAACCAAAATTTAAATATTAATTTTCTATCAAGTTAAAATTATACTCATTAAGACACAACAAATAAAAATTTAAAAACTAAATTTACAATCAAATCAAAACTACAGTCATAGCATCATCAGACAACAATGTAAGATTACAATAAGATAAATATTTACATGCATAAACAAATTCTAAACATATATAAAAGATAAAATTTTTTTATCATAATTAAAATATTAAATCATATGATAGATGTACTTACCTTCTTCAATCTGGTGTCAAAATGAGCAAGATTGTTGAGAGCTAAGGAGAGACAAATGCAACACTTGCAGAAAAAAGGAGTAAAGGAGAAAGAAGATGCAAACATTGAAAGATGAAGAAAAGGAGAAGGAGAATTCATGTAATAATTACGCAACTTATATTTATTTTCAAAGCTTCTCTACTGTGGACGCACATGATATGAAATAAGGGAAGGAAAAAACATGCATGCTGATGAATAATACAGCACAAAATTTAGTTTCACGGATATGTTCAATTCAAGACTTAACACTACTTATATTTTCATACACGTCTTGCAGCGTAATGTCATATCTCAATAGCAATGTTAAAAAAAAAATTAAAGTAAAGCTGGCAGAATGGGCAAGAGAAGCATTTTCTGACTTACAACTTGGTATTGCAGAGGCCGAGTAACATAATATGTAGGCATCGATTTTCACAATTGCATGTACAAGCATTTTCTTTTACATTTTTTTTATCATTATATTATTTCACTTTTCTGACATAGAAAAGACAAAAGGAGTATTGGCACGTGAAGCTTGCATCTTTCCTTGCCTTGTCTTGAATCCATCTTCCTTTATGTTCTTTTCTGAGCTATAATAGGACCACGTGAAGAAGAGAGAGAGGAAAAAAAAGTAGACAGGAATCTGATATATAAACTCAATGAGATGCAAGCCAATTTCTGCAAATAGGGAATGAAAGAGAAAATATAAAACTCGGTGCCTATCAAGCCAAGTTTTTAACTTATAGTATCTTGATAAATAATTTTTAAATTATAATATTTTGAGAAATAATTTTTTTCCCGTAGCATGATGGTCAATTTCCCCTTTTGTTGTCAATTGGATGCTTGCTCTCATGACAGGTTAGTGTATTAGATCCTCATCAATTATATTGCTAAATCATCATCATTTTAATTATGTACATATAATTATTCACGAGATCATTTACATTTTTTGTTAAAATAACATTTTATTTTTTGCTAAAAAATAAATCTACCTCCAAATTTGATTGAATCATCGTTATTGACTCGCAATAAGTCATTACAAACACTTTTGTTTATTGAAGTTTAAGATAAGTTTTGTGATGGGGGATCGCAGGGAAATAATGAAGGCATATATGGAAGCACTTCATGAATTAGCAGTGAACATAGGAGTGAAATTAATGGAGTGTTTCGTGGGCTCAACATCATCATCATCAGAAACCAGGGATGATTTAAAAGACTGGCGATGCCAATTTAAGATCAACAAATTCAACTGTAGCCCTCAGACTCTGGGGCTCGTAGGACTCAAAGAGCACACTGATCCAGGCTTCATCACTGTTCTTCAAGACGATGAACATGTTGGTGGCCTTGAAGTCTTCAACCCTTCCTTTGGTTCCTATGTTGACGTCCCTCCCCAATATGGCACTTTCCCTGTTAATCTTGGAGATATTGCTCATGTAAAACTACCTTTCTTCTTAATCTCTTCTAAAATGTCTAGATATGGGTGGGTTGAACTTATGTGGGAAAAACCCACATCAGATAAGATGTGTTGTCTTCCACTGCTTTTCGCCGAGTTGCTCTAATGCTTCGCTATGATGATATATAGGTATGGAGCAATGGAAGGTTTTTGACTGTGAATCATCGTGTGCTGTGCAAGGAAGGAAGGCCCAGAATTTGCCCTCTGACGGCTATCTTTGGACCAAAGAATAAAGATGTTGTATTTGCAAAAGAGTTTGTGGACTGTGACCACCCATGTCAGTTCGAGCCTTTCTATTTCGAAGATTACTTGGGGACACGTTGGTCCACAAATTTGAGGGGTAGGGAAGCACTTGATGCCTTGCGCATTCACCCATCAAATACTGAAGATCCAAGATCTAAAGATCATCAACTTACTGGAGAAGTAGATGAGTTGGAGAGAGAAAGATAATAAATTTCCAATCACTCGAAGGAAGGGAGATAGAAGGAGTGAAGTACGCTCTGCCTGTTAGATTCACATGTATGTGCTATATAGGATGTGTCCTACTTCTCTCTTGTTATCTCTTTTTAAATTTCTACAATAAGAGTTTCATCAATAAAATTAAAATGTTAACTTTCTTTACAATTATTGTGTTTTATTTTTGGGCTAAGGTCTTGAATTATTTTTCAAAGAGCACCCAGCAGTATTTTATATTATTTGTCATAGCAATTCTGCTTTTAAAATAATTAAGATGTACTCCCTCTAGTCCTATTCGTAGTTAGAAGTAATTTTTAATTCAAAATATATAATACCTTATAATAATCAAACTATTTTTTTAATTTTATTCTTTCTTCATTAATGCAAAGATATTTAATTTAGTTGTATTGTAAAAATGAAAGTACATCACTATATCTCATTTTTTTATGATATCAATAAAAAAATAATTTTTTTTAAGATGCATGAAATGGTTGAAAGTGTCCTGTAATAAGGACGGGAGGGAGTAACATATTTTTTCTGACATTAAATATCTTAACATTGACCATTAAAAATATTTACTAGGACTTAAGTTTGACAAAAAAATGTCACCTATTGTGTTAGGTGGATCTGAGTTAAGATGTATTTTTGTTCTTGAATTATTCTTCATGGAGCACCCGATGTCTTAAAATATTCATCGTATAATAATTTTGCCTCTAAAATATTAAAATGTAACATATTTTTGAACATTTGACAATCTATATTGTTTATGAGTTTTCTTTCTAGCCCCAATCTATATTGTTTTTCTTTTTCAGCCACAATTTATACTACCAATTTATTGTTGGAAAATTAATCATTTATTCTCTAGTAAGTTAAAAATGAGTTCCTAAACTTTGATTTGGTATAGCTCAATCTCTATATTTATAGTTTTGAATCAGTTAAAATCCAATCCTTAAAGTTTAACTTTTACAACTTAGTCCTAAACTTAGTCCCTTTAACTTTTTCTATTCAAAATTTTAGTCTCCTACACTTTAAAAATTAAAATTATAATGAATAAAAGTTATTAATTATAAATTTTAGAGATTAGTGTTTTAAATAGTTAAAACTATATGGATTGAGTTGTGTTATGATAAAGTTTATAGACTGAATTTTAATTGAGTCAAACTATAGATTGAGTTGTATTAAGTTAACATTTAGGGACTAATTTATAATCAAGTAAAAAAAGATATAGGTACTAAATGATTAATTTTCTTTCTCTTTGTTTTTTTTTTTGCAAGCACACTAGGGTAAGACAATTAGCATACTTTGCACATAAAATTCATAATCCATCTAACATCTATGGTTAAATATGAAATACAAAATATGAATAAGCATAGCTTTATAACATGTTGGAGATTAAATTAATTGAGGTTTTATTGTTAATAATGAAAGCTTTGAAGTACTTTATGATTAATTTAGAAGAGGGTACAGTTTGCTTTGATTAAGAGTGTATTTTGAAAGATTATATATAGGAGAAATGTGATATAGAAAATAGGGGTCTTCTTATATATAAAGCACCTTTAAAAAGTGAGAAGTGATTTTGATATAAAAAATGAGATGAAAATGCTTTTATGAATGTGATTTTGAAAAGTTATTGAATGTAGATTTACTCAACTTGTCCTCTTAACTTTTGAAATGTGTTTTTAAAATCTGATCTTCCTAATTTTTTATGTCAACGATGGCAGAGACATTCAAGTATTGAAATAAAAGGTTTCGTAAGCTAGCTAGTATATTACTCCGATCCAGACAAGTGTTTTTTTTTTTCTGAAGAAAACATGGGCCCATTGAAAGACTCTCCTTATAAGCTAAGGTATCCCATATTTTTGCATTCTCTGATTGTTGAAGGAATCGTTCTAAGGAGATGATTTTCTAAGATATTCAAAGTGCCAATGTTTTGAAGGGTTCCTACCTCAATGAGTAGTAAGCGATAAATGAGTCGTGAGATAAATTCAATAAAATGGATAAGGATATGTCATGAGTCCCATACTTGGGAGCTTCATAAGTAAAATGATATTTATAAATATGTAGAGCATTTTCATCCAACATGTTAATTTTTTAGGATGAGCTATCTTTTTAAATTGTGTTCAAAACATTAGTGCTTACATTAATAGGCCAATCCCATAAAGAAAGTCTACGTGGCTAATTAGCAAGAGTTTAAATGAAGTGCTGTGAAATGGAGCCACTCGATAAGATGACTCTTGAAAAAGTTAACATTATTATGAATCTCATATCAAAAAGTATTTACAAGTGAAGTTATAATTAAATGTGAGGGTCTCTCTTACTTAATATGTTAATTTTTATTTTGTATAAGTTTTCTTTTAGAATTGTGCTCAAAATAGAATACATGTAAATAATAAATTGAGCTAAAATTATAATGTAATGCATACCTTCCCTTGCATTGATGTACAAAATTGAGGCATACATTGGCGCTAATTTTGGCGAACAGTGATATACGGACAAAGGGGTGGGGGAGAGAGAAAAGAGAGGGAGGGGGTAAATGAGGAAGGGTGCGTCCTAAATCACTTGCCTCATGTCAATTTTTGTGGGCTCCACAATACTCATTAACTACCATTAGTCAACCTTTAGCAACATGAACAAGTTTGAGGGTGTACTAAAACGAAATTTAGTATGCTAGATGTTCTAGAATAGATAGTTTAAGGATAAAAATAACATTTAATTAGACTATAAATTATAGAATAAGTTTATACATTTTATAAATTTATTACGTCTCATTATTATTTTATTTCTATTTCTTAAATTCTAAAATATTTATAATTTTTTCAATTATGTTTTTACTTTTATGTTTACATGCTTTATATTTTTAATTAATTGTATATTTTTTTCTTATTGGAAATATTTTTTAATTATTTTTTGTTTTTCTTATTTGAAATATTTTTTAAAAAATATTTTTTGTGTAGAAGATTTGACAGAGTCTAGTGCTTGGTAAGCTATGGAGTTGTTTCTTTCGGCTAGATTTGAAGGAGTGGTTGCTGAGTTACCTTGGGTCAGATGTGAGGGTAACATAGACAAATTTTATGGTCGTCCATTTTCGCTTCGGAGTCTGAACATTTTTGAAGGAGAGGAACAAAAGAATTTTCTGTGGATAATAATGAAGACCAGGGGTGGCAGATCTGAGTAGATCTACGAGAGGGTTTATAGTTAATAGAGTCAAAGTGATGAATGATGGCCTGAGGGTGCTGTGATTGAGCCTGGAGTTAGAGTTGGGTACCCATATTTGGCATTTTATGGTGAGAAAGTGATAATTAGGAACCACATAAGAATAATAATAGCAATTATATATATTTTGAATTATTCAATTTCCAGTTATAGATCATAGTCTTTATTTTCAATAAATTATCTTTTATTGATTGATTTGAAATTTATAATAGATTTTTATAAATTTTCAACTAACAATATAAAGATTTATTTGGGAAAATGAAAATAAAATACCTCTAAAATATATAAATGATAATTTAATTTCTCAAAATGCTATAATTCTCTTAAATTTCTTAAGAATTTTTCTATCATTAATAAATTTATATAAATTACTAAATTACACTTGTTGAAAATAAATGATTCTCAAGTTTTGTTTAAATATTCATAACTTTTCTTCTTATATTCGCAATAATGCAATAGTAAATCACAACTTTGCATATTAAATTCTTTATTTGATGTTGTATTATTGTGAATAAAAACATTTATTAATATTTAAACAAAACTTGTGAATTATTTATTTTTAACAAGGGTAATTTGGTAATTTATATAAATTCAGTAATGATAGAAAAGTCCTTAAAGACTTCAAGGGAATTTTGGCATTTCGAGAGACTAAACTATCATTTATATATTTTAAAAAAAATTTTATTATCATTTTTCTTAAATATTTTTAAGTATCTTTTATTAATTTCTCAAGTGATAATAAAAATTCTTAAGTTTTTGACTTGCAATTTACAATTCAGTTTTATAAATATTCAATTAGTGTATAATCCCAGTCGTAGGAAACTACAAGTTGCTCACCATTGAGCATAGGGTTTGAGGGAGGAGCGATCACTACCCATTGTGGCGGTCAATGAGGAGTTTCTAGTCGTGGGTTTGTGCTCTATCACCTTTTGTGATAGAGTTTTTTGAGTCGATTGTGAGGGTTTGTTGTGTCTAATCCTTTTTCTTTCTTCTGATTGTCTATTTTTCTTTCTCTGTTACTAGGTTCTAGTGCCTTGAGCATTGCTCTATTTCTTGACCATTACAAATAGGGAGGGCAACTCATACAATCCAAGAAGAAATCTCACCTTGTCTGGAAGTCACCGTCAGTGACGAGGAATCCAGGTGGTGCTCTGATTGAGAAAGTTTTCTCTAAACAAAAATAAAATCGCAATCAATTCTCTATGTTATTTAGAATGGATGGGGTTTGAAGGAAGGTGAAGACGTAGATGCCATTGATGTTGGGGTTTTGAATATATTATCTAGAATTATAGGTCTAGTAAGGGCAAAATAAATCGAGAGAAACCTATATCCTCTTGAGTTCTATGTATTCCATTATGCAAGAGAAAGACAGAGAGAAGGAAAGTAATTTTCATGCAAAATAGATCGAGAGAAACCTATATCCTCTAGAATTCCACGTATTCCATTATGGAAGAGAAAGATAGAGAGAAGAAAAAGTAATCTTTATTTGGAAAGTTCCAACCATAAATTTCATAGCATGATCAGTAAGTTCTTGGCATATTATTCTCCATTATTTATATTATAGTCATCAACCATGCCTTTCACTGAAACGAAAAGTACTAATTTGATTCAGCTTCCTAGTGACATCCATTATGTTTAGTCTCTCATTTGGTGATTTGGCTGAGCAAGCAAGTCCAATCTCGAATAATGAGCACATAATCTTCTCATCACTAGGATGCAAAAAGGTCTGCTCATCCATGTTAATTTCTTCTCAAGCTACAGTTATTGTCTGATTAAGTTGCCTTGGTAGAAGTGCAGGGTCTACAATCTCT